GGCGGAGGGCGGGGCGCGCGGTCCCGGGGCCGGTGGGGCAGGCGTGACCTTTGCGCCGCCCGCCGGCCCAGGAGGTGACCGACAAGAGCGAGCGCATCACCCAGCTGGAACAGGAGAAGTCAGCCCTCATCAAGCAGCTGTTTGAGGCCCGCAGCCAGCAGGAGACCGGACCCCTGGACTCCACTTTCATCTAGTCGATCCAGTGCAGATACGGACAGGCCTCTGGCCTGGCACCTGCCCCAGGCTGGTACCCCTTCCGCCCTGCCTCTGCCAGGGACGGCAGCCGCTTGGACATAGCCTGAAGCGGGTGCCCGTCCCTCGCCCTCCCAGCTCGGGATCCCGGCAGGTGGGCAGCCCCCACACATGGACTAGTCCTGGCTTCCGGAGCTGACTTGGAGGGGAGGGTGACCATCCAGCCTCATGCTGCTACTGCCACGTCAGAGGAGAGCCGGAACCCGCCTCTGCTACGGAGTCTCAGACAGCCCCTGGGCAGGAAGGGTCCGGTGGCAGCCCCGCCCCCGTGTTTACAGCTGTGCGGTTCCCTCCAGATGAGCCTGGGTCCAGCCCAGGGCTCCAGTAAAGGACAGAGCACGCCAGGCTGCACTTCCGTCGACGACCAGCAGAGGGCGAGTGAGGAGCACGGGCCCTGGAGTCCCCCAAGCGTCTCAGATGAGGGGCTGGGTCTTAAGGGCTCTGGAAGGTGGCCTGGGACACCAGGGGGCCCAGTGTGTGCTAGGCCTTGGCCAGAGACTCCAAGGGCAGTTTCCTTCTCTCCACCTGAGGGGACCCAGACAGGGTGGCAGGTGGGAGCAGCGGCAGAAGGCTTTGAAAGGAGATCTCGGCCAGTGCCAGGGGAATGGGGGAGGGGGGGATCCCCACCAGGACCGTCAGGGTGCATGCCCAGCCAAGGCTGCAGGGGGATCGGGCTGCAGACAAACACGTTGGGCAGGTTCCTGGAGTAGAGCAGAGAGCAGGGACCTTGTCCGCCACCCCCCAGGCCTGAGCCTTGAGCTGAGGGCTGCGACAGCACTCCGGAGGCCCGGCTCCAGACTGAGCCCCGTGGAGCTGCCTGTGACCAGCTCGGCCTTGGACGGGGCAGCCTGGCCAGCTGTGCGGGTGTCACAAGGTGGTCTTCAAGGCTCAGGTGTGCTCCTCCCCTGCAGATGGGTGTCTCTGGAGGCGTGTCCACCTGAGCCTCCTAGACATGCCCAGGCCACCGTGTGGCCTGAGCACCCCAGCTGGGTGCATTCGAGGAACTGTCTACAGGCCTGCCCAGCACCCCCCACACACACACACCCCAGCACCACCCAGAGTTTGGGTGGGGAGCAGACATTTCCCCCTTAGTGATAGAAAAGGGGAACCTCCCTGCCCCTCTCACCCAGCATGCTCTAATGGGCTCTGCAGATAGTGGCCTGCCACTCCCCTAACCCCAGGAGGCGGGGGAAGGGCAGGACTCGGCCAGGGTTGCAACAACAGTATAGCAGGCCCCATGGCTGAGGGCCCAGCTGAGGGTGTGAGCATATGTGTGGCGAGCACCCCAGCCCGGCAGGACGGGTTCCAACTCAGTGTTAACCTCCCGTCAGGTGCTCTCCGCCTGCAGGGCGGTCCTGGGTCAGACTCAGTCCCACTGAACACAAGACCCCTCTGGAGAATGGGCTGCAGGCCTGGGGGCCTCTGCCACCCGGCCTAGACTTCCCGTCCAGCTCACGTGTGTCCTGAGGCCAAGCCTTACTAGCAGAGGCAGGAGGAGAAGGGCGTCCTGAAGGACACAGCACCCCCGTGGCCCCCACCCCTGGCAGGCTTGCTGTGCAGCAGTTAGGCTGGCCCCAGCCAGGGAGCCCTGGCCCTTCTGTCCCTCGGCCCATCCACTGCCACCCGCCACGGGCCCAGGCTGTGGTACCGACTTCCCTAGGGCCTTCCCCAAACACCAAGTTTTCTGCCCACAGCAGGTGACACTTATGAACCGAAACCTGACTGCACCTCCCCTGCCTCTAACCTTCCCATGACCCCACGAGGATCCCATCCCCACAGTCCCTCCAGAGGCCACATGGGAGCAGAGGACCTCCCTCCCCTCTGGGCTTTGTACGTGCTGTTCCATTAGCTCAGAGCCTGCTCTCTTGCTTAACCAGACTAGCCTGGCCTTTCGCTTGTGACAGACAGACAGACAGACAGACACACACACACAGGCACTGAGCAAAGGAAGTCTCAGAGACCAAGAGGGAGCAGGCAGCCTCCCAGGCCCAGCCTGGGCCTCTGTGCTCTCCTGGGACCCAGGAGGCAGGACACAGATAACAGGAGACCTCCCAGTGAACTGGAGTGTTCCAAGAGCCTGAGCCTGAAAGCAGCTTGCCCGGTGCAAGGTGGTTCAGGGGCACACACCTCATTACCTTTCCTGAGGTGTCTAGACAACTTTGTTTTTATTGTGGCAAAATACACATGACGTAAAACGTGTAGTTTGAACAATGTTTAAGCGTGCCCTTTGGTGGCACTGGGCGCACACAGAGCTGTGTGACCATCTCTGATACCTGGTTCCAAATGTTGGCATCACCTGAGACAGAAACCTCGGCGCTGCTGCCCACTAGCTGCCCGCTCTCCCCTCTTCCAGCCCCCTGAGAACCTCCCCTCCCTGCCTCTTTGCATCCCACTGCCATTCATGTCCTCAGTGTTCACAGCAGGTGGGTCTGACTCCCTGTACGGCCCCAGAGACCTTGGGGGAAACTGAAAGAGGCCCTAGGCTGGTGGGGCCCAGGCAACCGCAAGACAGATGCAGGTCCCTCCAGGGCTGGCTTCTCAACCAAGGTGAGAATGACGTTCTGGGCTGAGCAACGCTGTAAGGGCTCTCCAAGGACGGGCGTTTAGTAGCATTCCTAGCCTCTACGCATGACATGCCAGTGGCAGACCCCCAACAAGATGTGATGACCAAAAACGTCCCCAACATTGCTCAGCATCCTCTGAGGAGACCACTGCTCTAAGGGACTGCAACACCACTGCAAATCCACTGCAGATCAAGATCCAACTGGGGGGAGCTGGCAGGAACGACAGAGGGGATCTGTAGGGGGATGTACACAGTGCGGGGAAGGGGTAGATTTTCTTTAAGATGTGCGTTGAACACCCAGGAGAAGCAACTCAAATGAGAGCTGAAGTGTGGAGAGGAGAGGAGGACGGAGAAAAGGAAAAAGAAGTTCAAGGTGAAGAAGACAGAAACCAGAGAACAGAGTAAGATGGTGGAGATCAAGGAGCAGCCGCGACCTCCGTAAGTGCGTTGTACAGGGGCATTGTCAGCTAGGGAGCAGAAAACCGCTGTTTTATCCAAAGAGACGATAATGCTGCTGGGCCCAGCTCTCAACCACGGATCATCTAATATCATAGGAAAGGTGCAGCAGCTGACAAACAAATGACGTCATCCCAACAGACCACTTCTGTCCGTCACAGGGCTTCCCCAGGGCCTGGTCTCACCACTGCGACTCAATGCTGTACTCGAAGTCCTAGCAGAGCAACCAGACAGGGAACAAGTCAGAGGGCTCCAGGTGGTAGAAGAAGTAAAATTACCTCTATCCACGGAGGATATGATCCTGTACATGGACAGTCCCAGAGTCCACAGGAAATTTCTAGAGGTGATAGGAATTTCACACAGCTGCAGGGCACACAGTCAACAAACAAGCCTCAGTGGGTTTCTATCCACTAGCAATGAAAAATAAGAACGGGTAATTAGGAAAATAATGCCATTTGCAATATCATCTAAGAGAATAAAATATCTAGGAACAAATCTAACCCAGGACATGAAGTACTTACACACTGAAAAGAATGAAACATCCTGAAAGAGATTAAACAAGACGTAAATGGAAAGATGGTCCATGTTCATGGACTGGAACACTTACTGTCATGAAGATGCCCATTCTCCCCCAAGCAGTTCTAGATTTAACTCAATCCCAATTAAAACTCCAATAGTCTTCTCTTTACAGAAACAGAAAAAAACAGTCTTCAACTTTACATGGAATGGTAAGAGGCCTCATATAGCTAAAACAATGTTGAAAGAGAAGAAGAAAGTAGGACTCAAACTTCCTGCTTTTAAAACATACTATAAAGCTACAGTAATCAAAACAGTCTGGTACTAGTATAATAAAAGACATACAGATCAATGGAAGAGAATTGAGAGCCCTGGAATGCACCCACCCATTTATGATCAACTGATTCTTGACAAGGATGCTAAGTCCATCAAGGGGGAAAGAAGAGCCTCTTCAATAAATTGTCCGGAGAAAATCTGATCTCCACATGGGAAAAAATGAAACAGGCTCCATGCCTCACAAGATACACAAAAACAAATTCACAGTGGACTTAGGACCTAAGTGTACAGCTAAAACCACACAATTCTTAAAAGAACAGACGAGCAATGCTGTCAGGCCTGCCTTCCCTCAATGCATTATCTAATCTAATAACAAAAGCACAAATAGTAAAAGGCAAAGTAAATAAATGGGACCTCATCAAAATGGCAAACTTCTGTTCAACCAAAGATTTTACCAAAAAAGTGAAAAGGCAAGTGACCAACTGGAAGAGTATTTTGGGAAGCCATATATCTGACAAGAATCTAATAACCAAATGCATATATAAAACCTTGACAGCTTAACAACAACAAAAATAACCCAATCATAAAATGGGCAAAGGACCTGAATAGACATTTCACCAAAGAGGACATTCAAATAAATGGCCACCAAGCACCTGAAAAGATGCTCAGTGTCATTAGTCATTAGAGAGATGCAAATGAAAACCACAAGGAGATACCCCACCCTCCCACTAGGATGACTAAGACAGAAAAAACAGAAAATAAAAAATGTTGGCAAGGATGTGGGGAAACCGGGACCCTTCTCCACGGCTGGTGGGAATGCAAAATGGTACAGCTACTGTGGAAAACAGTATGGCGGTTCCTCAGAAAACTGAAAATAGGACCCAGCAATTCCAGTCCTAGGTATACACTCAAAGACTGGAAAGCACAGATGCAAAACAATGTTCACTGCAGCACTCTTCACAACGTGGTATGTGGGTACAAGGGAAAAGCACCCAGCCAGTGGGAGAAAGATATCTTGATACAGCTGTAGCATGGGCAGAGGTGGAAGACATCATGCTGAGTGAATATGTCGGTCACAGAGGGACATATATTACATGACCTTACTTAGGTGACAGACACGAAAAGGCAAAT